ATTAACATGTAACTCCTAACAATATCCATACACTATCAAACAGGTAATGAGAATACTCGAACTTATCAGGTAGAAGTTGTTTTTGATTTAACACCAAACTCTCTTTAACTAATTTATAAGGAAATGTTTAACAACTGGAAGGGAGAATTAACAATCAGATCTTAGGAGTTAAAGGGTTAACACCCGTGCAACAGGTAATTACCGAAATTGAGCTCCATGCCTTTGGAGAGGCAAGCCAGGAGTCTGTGCAACAGTACATGCAGTCGTAAGGCAGCCATCAAGCGTCAGTCAGGGATCGGTGATTGCAAGAGCTCGATCGGCCAAACAGGGGCTGACGAGACTGCGATTGGAGCTCGTGAGAGCGCATATGACAACCAATTTGCTTATCAACGCAAAAACCACATTGTCTGGTTTCCTGTGATGCAGAAGTATGGATGGCTTGACACCTTAGTAGCTCTTCATTGGCTTAAGGGAGTTGGCGAATACAAGTAATTCGTAGTAAGAAGGATCGCCGTCAAGTATTTGCAAGCTCATCCTGAAATAACCTGATGACATGTTCCTACAAAGGAGAATCCTACGGACCTGTGAAGCCAAGAAGGGCCCGTTAACGACTTTAATTTTAGTGGCGAGGGCCTGTTTGGCTTTGCAATAAGAGAGAGTGGCCTCCTGACCGTGAAACAAAGCCTTCCACTGAAAGTCAACCAGAAGCTAAGGTACTTAAAGATCTACTCTGCACGGTGGTCGAGTCAAGTGATCATCTTGATGAGCTAATGGGAAAGTACAGCTTGAAAAAGGTGGTGATAATCGGTGCGTGGGTTGTGCGTTTTCCAAGAAATTGACGTGTCAACTAGGATGGAGGAGTAACTGGAGCTTTAACCACCAAAAAGATTTAAGACCAGCACCTAATCTGGACAAGGCGTATCAAGGTTTTCAAAGCCAGAAAGAGAGTGATGATGAACAATGGCTGGGAGTTAAACGAGACAGTGACGGGATTCACTCTAGACGGGAAATCGGTTAAACAAAGCGAAGATCAGAGAACGTCAGTGGATGCCGAGACTGAAACGCTCGGTCAAAAAGGTGATCAAACAGTACCACGGTTGCTTTCGTTTCCAAGCAAAAACACTTCCGAAACTGCCGCTGGGAAATCTACCGAGAGAAAGACAGCCGCAGTTTCCAAGTCGGTGGATTGGGTTTTACCAGGCCAATCAAATATGGAATCGGTTCTAAAAAGGAAGGATAGGCGTACATCGGATAGATAGATAGATAAATAGATAGTTTACTACCAAAAAATAAAAATACTTTGCAGCCATAGGCTGAATTGCGTACTTTCACAATTATTTATAAATACATATATGAGACTATATAAAACTACAAAATTTACAAAAAATTCTAAGACCTAAAATAAGTACAATCATACAGCAATGGAATAAATACGCAGTCGACGCCAAGACCCTAGATTAGCCCTCGCGCACATAGTCGCAATGAATGAAGATTTGAAACGATCAGTGTGGAAGCGCAGCATGTTAAAAACGCGCTGGCGTCTTGTGTTGTACGCTAAATGATGTCTATCTGGCAGCAAACTGTATAATTTATAAAATGGATTTGAGATGGTCAAAAACAGATCCAAACATAACTTCTTGAGTCTGTCGTTGAACGAAGCTAAACCATGCCTTTCTAAGGAGTCATGATATGACAGTTCTGGTGAAATAATAGATATAATGCGCGTCTTTGGACCCTTTCTATGTCATCACTAAGATACGCGGGTAATGCATGATGGAATATTTGCGCGCTGTAATTCAGAACAGGACGTATTGTTGTACAATAGAAATTTTAAAATTAAAATTATATCTTCCGCAGAAACGCGGGCTCTCTGTTGGGGACGGGTTTTAACCACTCGCTGGGCTATTAACGAAAGGTACCAAGACTCTGTAATTTTCTTCTTTATTCTCTGCTCTTCTATTGTTGCTACTACCTTCTACTACCGCAGCTACTTCTCTTCTATCTTTTAGCAAGGAGTGCCCGCATATTTAATGCAAAAGTCACAGACATGTTTGGGTTAGCTGACCGTGGGAGTTTCTATCGTGCATTCGTTGTTTTGCAAAAGGGGGAAATTGGGTGGCTCGCTCAGAAGCACTTGGCGAGCACCAAGAAACCAATTAAACGCCCATGATCGTGTTGCGCACGAGAATCACGCGCACAGAACAGGATCTTCAGTTTGGGTAAAACTCAAGGTCAGTTTTACCAACCCAAACATGACCCCCTATGAAACTAATTATTCTCAACCATAACAAGCGATTAAAATGTCTAGTACGATAAGAAAGAAATCTGCGAATTCAGCCAAGTTCAAGCACACACTAAAAATAAAAGACGAAAACACGTAGGCGTAAAAGGGCGAGACTCAATAAAACAAAAGGTAAACCTAAAAATACTCGAAATAGCAATCCTTTAAAATACTCTACAACATCTCCTTAGGAGGACTAAAAAGTATAATCGTTTGTTTGCTTTTTCGATGGAATCATTAACGTGGTCATTCCACTTGAGGTTACGCGAAATAGTCACGCCCAGAATTTTAGGCATCCATACAGTCTAATTCCTTGCTGCCTACCAGGAGAGGAGTGAAATGGTGTGTCTGACTTTTAAAGTCGATGACCATGACTTTGCATTTATCAGCGTTTAGCTGCATCTTCTGTGCTTTGGACCAATCCTCCACGACATTGACAGCGTTTTGGGCGTCACCTGATGCATTGCGCGGGACGATCTCTGACACCGTCGTGTCATCAACGTACTTCCAAGTTTGAACCTAGAGAATTCTCAGATCGTTTATCATCAAGAGGAAGAGCCACGGCCCCAATTTTGTTCACTGGGGTACGCCAGCTGGTGCGGGGCCCCACTCAGAGAAACAATCAGCAGAGAGTTTCACGCGTTGATAACGATGCACTAAGAAGTCGACCACCCAACGTGCACGCCCCAGGGAGTCTCGAGACTGTAGATTTTACGGGTGAGCAGTTGATGGTCAATGTAGTCAAAGGCCTTGCAGTAGTCGAACAGGACCACCCTGACTGCAGATCCCGTGCCATCTGTTGCGCGCGTCCAGTGGTGAAGCATGGACGTCAGAGCTTGAGCCGTGGAGGATCTCGGTAAGGCTCCGAACTGGTCAGGATCGATAATTTTCAACACATCACCCTTTACACTTACCTGAGGGGGCATTGGGGTTTGCGGCGTTGCGGCGTTGACCCTTTTTTAAATGCGGCATTGCAGTGAAGAACAACTCGCATTGCGGTGTTGCGGTGATCTCAAACCTTACGGTGTATGATGTTTGTAATTTCAAATCGACGGTGCTCGGGGAAATAAACCATTTCCGGTGTTGTAGTTTATTGTTCACTAGATTTTGATAACCCGTGGTTTTTAGTCGAAGAAAAAAAAGTTAATCTTTAATAATCGTTAACTGATTAACCCCAAGCCGTGTTCATTAATATTTTACTTGACCTCTGGACATCTACAACACGCGCTACCGGCCAGCCAAAGACCAGCGCGCGGTAAAGATGAGTGAAACCGGACTAGGTAAATCCTGCGGTGTCTGTGTGTTGATGATATTTCTTGGGATGATGCAGTGTTTGTTCTATTTTGTTTCCGGTGTTACGGTATTCATAGCCCCCACGTCTCCCTTCTTGCCTCCTCAAACGTGCACTCTGCATGAAGCAGAGTAAACACCATAGAGACAATCACAATTCGGAGAAGCCTTAAACGCCTCATAGTGAGGGTCATAGTGAAGAAAGGAAGACTTGAGAAAATATACACGCAAAAAGCAAAGACGTTCGGAGCAGCAGCAGACTGGATCAAAATCGTGCGGGAAGATGCCCACCATAACGCGAAACAACAAGCAGTTGGCGGGGATGTCTCTCCTGCCTGAGTTGAACCTTCTGCAGTATATGTATATCATTAAATGAATCTACTAGACTTCCATTATTATTAATAATTATCATACCTCTCCATGATAACGGCCAGCATTTTCCACAGCGCATCTCAAATTATCGAGAAGCTCATATGTAAGGTAGCCCTTGTTCCACCACACTTCTGTTTCAGCATCTTCTGGTATGCTAAAGACTTTTTTCATCTCTGACACAACATGACCTTTTCAGCAACAAAAATACTCATTATTCAAGACTCAGTAAACTTCACAAATTGTTGTGATTTGCTATGCTGAATATTTGAGTTTGTGACCATTGATGGGAGTTTTGATGAAGAACTTTGCTTTGCATGACATTTCGCGTGACGTTTATTATTAATTTTGGTAGTTAATATTATACTTTTGTACACAATGAAGACATTCATTGACATTGCAATCTGAGCAGTTCAACGTAGGGATCCGTTTTCAGTAAAGTTTTGCAGGTGTCGGTACGAATAGCTTTCCCATTTTTAAGAGGTTTACGTCGTAATTTGTACTCTGGAATCCCGACACGAAGTGAGCCAGTTTTAAAGTTTGTGTTTCCCGTTTTGTAAGGTTTTGTTACTTTAAGTTATTTCCTTCAATTTCTGTTGGTATGATTTATGTAATCGACCTCATGTGATTAATCAGGATTAACAATATGTGTAATTGACCCCGTGCTTGACCCAGCCAAATTTGTTTCGTGTTTCTTGATAGATGTATTTAGGCCCTTTATTCTCGGTTAATTAATATTGTTGAGTATGTTATTTGCGGTGTTTATGTCAGATCGAATAAAATTCTTATAATTTATACGATTCACGGGAATTCAGAGTCAGGGGCATTTTGGCGGTCTTCGTCGGACGGAACAATGGGGTCAAGATGTTTGGAGACTCTAGACTAAGGTTGTTTATGCATTTTTTGGTAGACTGAGATGTTGGCCAAATATGTGATGTATTTATTTTTGTGTGTATTTGTTCAAACTCATAACAAAAATATGATAAAAATAATATTATGAATCATAATAAGAATGTTTACAAAAGTAGTATTTATTGAATATTACTTCAATTATTAGTATAATCATGACCATTAAGAAAACAGACTAGGCTAAAGTTGAGTTCAAAAAAAAATTGGTCATTATAGGAAAGATATCACATCATCTCCAATATGGGAAAAAAGAAATCTCAAGGGAATTTCAATTGAATCAGTTTCATTCACCAAACTAGTCATGGTTTTAATGGTTTTGACTGTCTACAGATTAAAATGTCCGACACTCTGTTGGGACAAAAAACTGCTGGTGAGGTTTTCCTCTTATAAAAAAAGAATGTAAACCAAAAACTAGAGCTGTTTCACTTTTTAGGATCAGACCAGGCAAGTTAGCCTCATCTAGCCCACTTGACAAGCTTATTAGATAACAGGACTTTCCTTATCTTGCCAATGCAGTCATGAAGTCAGTCAAATAATAAAAAGCAGTAGTAAATTCACACATTCATCCATATTCAACACATATCATTGATACTTCAAAAATATTTCAAGAAGCATCAAATATTTTTGTTTAATGGATCAAGTGGTACACGTATAGTTATACTAAAATAATGAAAGACCTTTCAGTTTAGATGAATAATTGTTAGATTACTGTTAATAATGTCAGCTTACCCACAGTATCTCTCCTACTGAAGAGCCTTGTAACAAACATCTGGGGTTCTGAGCATTTGAAAAGTTTCAAAGCAATGAGGTAGACTTCAACCTTAAGGTATTTGAGATACTTTCCATATTCCACAACCTTTCTGGCAAGAGTCTGCTGGTGTGAACTAATTCCATACCATGATACAAGTTTCAACCACGAGTCTTTTGTGAGCAGGTTGTAATCAAGCTCATCAATGAGATTTTCTTTCAGAGTGCAGCCATCAGCTACAACAGTAATGAACATAAAATATAATAGTACAAAAACATTTAACCTGGTCTAGGTTGAACAAGCATGGTCTGTAAAGGATCTATCATGTGACTACTGAGAAGGTTACATATCAGAATTTTTCTTTCATTTTGCTGCCAGATTTGTACAGTTTCCGAGTAAAATAACTGTACAGTACTTTCTGAAAATGAGAAATTTTCTGTTTGTTGTGTAATAGCAATGATTGCCCAATGGAGCCTGAATTACTAATGAGATAACAAAAACCTTTTGTGATAGATTGAACATAAGTGAAGAACCAGTAAATTGTACAGTACTTCTATGCATATGATAAAATAGGTGCAAAACAAAAGAATTGGTTTTTGTGTCATTTTCAACCCAATTACAGCCAAGACAGTGATTAAGCTCTTAACACCCTGTGTCCTGAAAAATCCTTCACTTAATTTGATCATATGTCCTCCTTCATCAGCAGTAGTGTAAATGCAGTGGATTTACAATGTTTTTGAGCTATTCACAAAAGAACTGGCAGGTTGATTTTACCTTCCCAAGGGAAGAGAGCTATAAAAGCAACCAACAAAATTCACAATCTACAGTATGTCAAGCAAAGAAGCACTGCCTATTCTGAAATTATAAACACCATCACTGTTTAGTTTATACATAAAAGATCAAATTTCCATTAGCTGACTTCTTTGCAGTTGTTGCCATCTACTTCAAAACTTATTGAAATGCCTGCTTCCAAATGAAACTGCTTCAGGTAAATTAATATTCATTTACAATTATAGCATCTCAAACAGAATTCAAAGGGTCATTGAGCCCTTTTAGATTCTCTAGGCATGGAGGCATGGAGGCAGAAATAAAAAGCGATAAGCTGAAGACAAAGAAGCTACAGTACGTATCTCACCAAGTTGACAATTGTAATTTATCCCACAATGAAATCAGAATCAATTAAATTCCATTGTTCTACTACATTTGTTGAGATTGATATATATTGAATAGGTAACCCAAGTTGACATTAATCCCCTGTGACATATAATACAGGACAACTGAAAAACAGCTCTAAAGTCACGGCTTTTTTTCTAGTTGTGATACACTTAACCCTACCAGGTATGGTTTGCTTTTGATCAAAACATTTTATTTAACTTTAAAAAACCGACCGAAGCCAATAACAGCAATACTTTCAAAGTAAAGGAGAAGAAGTAAAATGCTTTCAACAGTAAAATGCTTTCAATTACCAATGACAACACAACTAAAGAAACAATTCAGAAGGTAGACTACTAAGTCCACCTTTACATTTAAAACATAGTTTACAATAGGTATAGAACAAGTCCCTAAATATGGAGTGTTTTGTTCCCTTTACATCCTAAGAAGTTTGCAACCAAATTCTTTTCTCCTGCTTTGAAAAAAGGAACTGACGGAAAAGAAATAAAGAACAGGGCTTGACACTAACTTTTCAACTTACTAACCAAGTGGCTTATGACATCTTAGATGTTACGGCAATTTCAGTTTGTTTACTGGCCAAACTGGCTGGTGGAAATGAAAAAAAAAATAGTCTGTGACTAGTGGGCTACTGTTAGTGCCAAGCCCTGAAAGAAGCAATCAACACAAAAAAAGGAAAAGGCAAAGCTCTTTAATATATTGTATGATCTCACCTTCAAAAAGACTTGTATTATCTATAGGACCTGGATAATTGAATTCTTTTCCTTCATCAGCTTTATCCTGTGAATCATACCCAGTAACCTTCTTCCACTGCTTAAACCAGCAACTATCCACAAGATACCTACAGACAAATCAACACTTAGCAGTATAGTGAAATTCCCATGGAACAATGTACCTCAAGTTTCAACCTTAAAATACTACAGCTCAAACTGTAACTTTAACTGTGTTTCAATGCCCTCCTTGTGGGTACACAATACAACTTCATCTCTTTTAACAATATAAGCATAATTTCCATCACTCAGGCTAAACTTTGTGCCCTCAGGCTTGACAAGAAAACCCAAAATCCCAGTGGGAAAAATGGGAACACATCCCCTAGTGACCAAATGCTGGCCACCTAACTGGAGAAGCTTGAGGAAACTTTACATTCTTGTGGCATGCAAAACATGTTAGTTTGCATGCTGTACAATTTAGATTTAGAATATATAAACATCAGGAAAACATTTTGTCACATGCTAAGAAACAAATCTAAAGGCAGATCAAATTTCTTTTTAAATCATTGAAGCACTTCACTATTTGTTTGTTTTGACTCCCAAAACTCCATTTGATATTTGATTATTCAAATTTCAAGTTACATTAGGCGATGGGATCTGAGGATCAGAAGTAGTGCAAATTAATCTTTTGAATCTTATACACTAGTACTCATTTTCAATTCACAATAAATCCAACAAAGTGCAGTGACTGCCTCCTGCTTGCCAAAATTCTTATGAAGATTTATGAATCCAATCTTTATGTTTTGTTACATGCACTTTGTCTCAGAAAATGTGGCAAATGAGTTCTAGTTGACTTATCTCTCATAAATTACACTTATTTCACACTCACATGCATGCATTTTTTTAATACATGTATCCGGTTTGAATGTTGCACACATGCAGTAATTGGGATTTACCTGCACTTAATTGACATATGTGTAATGCTAAAATATAAGGGAACAGTACTGTACTTCTACTTGAAATCTACAGACATGATTTAAACTATAAACAGATGAAATAAAATGCCCAAAGTCCTCATTTTTCTCTTGAAAATTGCAGCTAAACCAATGAAGCCTCATGGCCCTTCTAAAATTAAGCCTCACTAAAAAGTGACACTTGAAGGACTACTGGAGGGACTGTCCTTTGTGGTCAGCAGTTTCATTCTCATTTTAGGTGAGTCAAGATACTTATTCACAAAGACAATCTGTAATATACAATATATCAATGATCAACTTATGTCAGAGAAACAACACAAGTAATAGCTTAAGCTGTAAAAAAAGTGCCTTAAATGTCAATGACATCTTCTCAAGGAAATCTCTTTGAAGTTAGTGAACCAGTTGGGTAGTCTACTCCAGGTATCTCATTTTGTTCCATGGCCATTTCATTCAAGTCACATCTTTCCACTTAAAGTTTCATTCACCACACATGATTGAATTTCTTTTACTTTCTTTGAAGTCATATAGAGAGTTGGAGACAGAAACTCTCTGAACAATTATAATTATGTAGCACAAAAACCTTACGGCATAAATTTACCTAATACCTTTAAAGATGGAAAACCATGGAATGAAATGACCTTGAATCCTATTCTTGCATAGTGAACCAGCTTTCTAGAGTCAATTGCTGATCATTGTCCACTGTAGGAAGTAGTTCATGATTCATTCCACAAACTGTCATTTACGATATTCAAAGTACAAAATTAAATTTATAAAAATCAACCATCTTTTACTAGCACGTGTGAAGTGTATTCGCCAGTTGTGCATAGAGAAATGAGCCTAAAAAATTCCGTGTATATATGAATACTTAACACCTGATACAAAGTAGGCTTACTCCATGAAGTCGTCTTGTTTCTGAAGGGAAGAAATAAGAAGAGGGGTGGGGGGCTGGGGGGTGGCAAGTGCATCAATTTAGATTTCTGTTCCTATTTTTCTGTGTACAATACCTTGAGGATGTGACGTACAAATAAAAAGAATTAACCGGTATTTTGCGTCTAATTAATCATCTCTTTTGACTCTGCGTTATSSMWT